AGAGGTTCCACTTAGAGCTCCCCTAGAGGCAACATGTGTTTTTGTTGTTGCATTGTTTCTGATTTTGCAGCGTGTTTGCTGTTCATGGTTTTCTTTCTCTTTCTTCCTGCAGCTTTTTTTTGCAACACAATCCTGTTGTTGTGTTTGTTTTGTATTTTCATATGTGTTTTTGAATCTGCATTGTTTAAGAATTTGCAGCTTGTTCCTCCTATTGGAAGTGTTTTGGGCCGTTGTAGCACGTTAGCCCTTGTCGGCCACTGTAAGATATTTTAGATAACAGTATGGCAGCAAAGACCAAATATCTATCAGCTCCACGTAAACATCAGTATCTGAAAGAGCTTTACATTTTCTTTTGTCTATAACCCAACAAAAACAAAGACTGTACAGGGAAAGAGGATGTTTCTGAACTTTAGCAGGCGGCTTTTACCCTCTAAATCCAGTTCCTTCTTATTTTGTTGAAACAGAATCTTGGTGTCGTCTTGTGCAAACTGAGGAGCAACTGATCCACTATCAACTGAGAGATAAAAGCAAACACTGAGCTGATAGGTGTTGACTCTGAGGACAGACAGGTGAGACATCTACAGTAGCTGAAACAAGAGGCATCATTGATTATATGTTAAACAAAACACCACAAAGGTTTTAATAAGCTAAGTCATATGAATCATACTGTTAATACAAATTGTTGTTGCTGTGATATTATTTCCATTTCTCTGCTCTACATCTGTCAGCTGTTTATTCTCACCATTAATATGCATGTGCACGTACTCTGCTGCTCGCAGGTAAAATTAATCAATGAGGTGAAAAATGTGGAAATGTGCAAAATTATGAAATTATGATATGAAAAAAAGTCCACGATTTTATTGAGGTTCCAGTCGTTTTAACAACAACTTAGTGGCTGAAGGTCAAAGGTCAAGGTCAGTGTGACCTCACGAAACACTTTTTCGCCATAGCTCCACACACTTCACAGCAACTATGACAGAATGTAACCTGAAACTAGTCTGAGTGGAGGAGGCAGACAACCACCAGGAGGTCATCCTAATTTTTTTGTTAGTTATTCTGAAGTTGGATTTCATTTCGGACTCTGGATTCCCAGCCACTTTTTACTGGATTTGTCTCTGCATCTAAGTAAGACTTTAGTGTTCTTCTTAGTTTAAAAATGGTTGAACTCTCTCAGCCTGGCTTTTGTTTTGTTGGTACCTGGGTCCAGAGATTTGACATTATAACAGTTGCATATCAATAACTCCACATAACTTCACAGCTCATCAACACACCAGATATCAGTGTATGAATAGAGAGAAGAGTGAGTCAGTGTGTTTCACAGATAAAAGAACTGGCGCTAAAATGAGTCGTAATGACTTTGGTGATCCCCTGAAATATCTCCACATCCAGTGGATGGATTAGATTTTTTTCTACATTGACGGTTCCTACACAGTGTGCACTTCTGACTATCCTTATGATCCTGTGACTTTTCCTCTAGAGCCAAAATAGTAGTAGTGATGGATCTGATGAAAGCAGATTTGTAATTTATTATCATGTCATCATAGGACAAATAACACACAGTTGTGACTGTCAACCAGTGAGTTATGTGTGTATACTCACATGTAAACTTCTTTTTTCTTGTAACGTTAACATTTGAGTTTGTTCCTCTCATGCTTGTTTGTTTGCCATTCTTATATCTTATTATTTCTTCAATTTTAGGGTGGCTGTTTACCATTTTTTCACGCTTCCGGGCGTTCCCTGGTAACCGTGGTAACCCCTTGTTTCAACAATGTGTCACAATGCTATGAACTCTGGGTAATTCCCTCTGGCAAAGTCTGCAGAAATGCAAACTTACAGAAAGTGTGCATTAAAGGCTAAAAGTGTCTGCTAGAGAGTCCTCATGCACTTGATGGTTTTACAGGGGGACAGCACTAAGACTTCATGGACTCACCTCAATGTCTGTGAGGGTGAACACTGGGATTGGGCCATCTACTACATTTGCTAAATGGTAGCATGCTAACATGCTGCAACACTGCTAGCATGGCAAGAAGACTCCAGAGTTTCTCTGATCCTATAGCAGTTTAGATTATATGGAAAAAATTCACTGATTTCAGTTGTGAGAATCTGCTCAGGTTTTATCTCTGTTGATGAGACAATACAAGTGTTAGTAGAAATGTTTTTGACATCCATCTCATAGAACAAATTTACTTTTTATCAGTGAACCCATACATAGAGACGGATTTTGTCTCATTCAGCCGACATGAAAACTATTTGTCCAGTGAATTTCTACTGTCAGTCAGACTGTGAACATCTGGGCCCGTATTCACAAAGCATTTTATCTTACCACTAAGAGTACTCCTAAGTCACGCTAAACGTTTTTAACTAAAAGTTTTCTCCTAAGTCCTCTTCACAAAGCTGCTGAGATCAACTTTTAGTAAGGAAAAAACTCTTAAGCCAAGAGTGCGACTCCGTTGCTATGGCTGACGTCAATTTTCATGGACGAGTTCCCTTGCAGCAGATTGGTTGATGAAAGACTGCCTGTGCCGGTGAAAACGCAGGCGCAACATCCCGCAGTAATGATTTAAAAAACACAGAGAAATAAACGAATACAATTGAAGGCATACTGGCTATTGGCATGGAGCTGCTTTATTTCTCTGTAGCTGTTGAACATAGAAAGGAAATCGTATGAATTGTGCTATGATGTCGGGTCACAGCGCATTTATTGTTTGTTGGATAGATCGGCTTTTCCCTGTTGCCAAGTAACGCAGCGTTGCCAAACACTTAATGTCCACACTGATCAGGTTGTTTCGGTTGGTAGGAGATGTTATTTAATCCTTCACAAACTCCACAACGATCATTATTCCCTCGTGATTGAGTCGTATCTTTTAAGTAATTCAGCATCATGTAAGGTTTCCAGAACACTGTGACGTAGAATGGCAGCAGCCCTTTAAGATTCTTTGTGATTTGGTCTGAGTGAGTTAGGAGTCCTCTCGACTGCCTCTAACTTCTCCCAGACTGGTGGCTTTGAGAATTACTCTTAGTCAGAAAAAATAGGACTCCTAAAGTTAAGACTGACACGGCCATTATCTTTAGGAGTTTCTCCTAAATCAGCAAGTAAGGAGCTACTTTTAGCCTTAAGATGCTTTGCGAATACAGGCCCTAACCTTTAAGCTTACCTATTAACAAACTGAATGCTTCAGTAGTACTCATGGGCCTCTCTTGTATCATTCTTAATGTGGACTCGGGGGTTCCACAGTCCTCTGACAGTGTCTGCACAGAACATCTTCAGCCGCATTACCACATTTTGCATTTAAAGTGATAGTTCAGGTTATTTGATGTGATTTGATGCAGTAGATTCAGATCGGCACTCTACCAGTTTAGAGAAGCAACAGGAGCAGGAGCACCGGCACAGAAGCCGAGTGATGAGCTGATATATCAATATCACTTGAAGTGTATGCTAACAGTTGCTAACCAAGCATCAAGCTCCGGGGCTAAAAAATTAAGCCAACACTGAAGTGCCCAAACCTGCAGTTCCTCTAATGACCACTAGAATCTGGCTCCAACAGTGAGTCAGTCCCCATAGACTCCCATGTTAAAATGTCCAACTTTACAGCAGAAATAAACATGTTTACAGCCTGGTACAAAAACAGTTTTGGTCTCTAGAGCTAATTTCCTCCTTCATGACAACTGTTTATATAACTCACCTGTTCACATTTTATTAAGACTTAAAGTTATGGAGAATTGAGGGCGTGGTCTCTTTGAGTGACAGGTAGGTGAGCATATGCTTGTCACAAACTGGAATGCACTGATGTTCCGGGTCCACACACGCCCCTCCTCTTTGCTCATTTTCGGATAAGCCGGAAGTTAGGGTTGGAGTCAGACACTGCCAAGATGGCGACAGTGGGGCAGCTCACTCTGAGCTTCAAAACAGCTCTTCAGAAACCTGTGGGTGAACGTCACGGAGGCTATATCTATCTTTATTTACAGTGTATGCCGCTAACAGTCATCAGACAGCCCTTTCCTTTGGAACAACATTTTGAACTACTGCATTCCTACACATAAGCACACCTAAGGTGCGCACTGTATCATCATCAACATCGCTCAGCTTCTGTCAGTGTTCCTAGCTGCTGCTCCAGACTGAGAGGGTGACAATCCAAATCTACTGCAGGTAATACCCTGACTATGCATAACTGCCTCACACAATCCCACGTCAAATAACCCGAACTATCACTTCTGGACGGGAGGATACAGAAACCTTTGACACTGTGGGTTGCAGTTTTGAGCTGAGTACGGTCAGTGTACAGATTAACATTGAAGCATATGTGTTCTGTCTGATGTGTGTGAGATGGGGAGCTGAAAAATGCACCAGAAATTCAATTATTGTGACGTGAAAGTAATTAATAGTGTTGTCAAATGCATCAGTCTAAGTGACTTGTAATTAAAAAGTGTACAGCACATAAATATTGTTTGAGCACACTCCAGGCTCCAAGAATATCTGCAGTCTGCTGTGTGTTGTTCGTCTCTTCCAGCTCACTGTACTGTGCATTAACAAACCTCCACGGGCTCCTCGCAGCTCTTCAGTCTTGAAGTCTTGATAATTTTACTTGGATTGAACCCAGATCCTGTCAGTCTTGTCAGTCTCTCTCTCTCTCTCTCTCTCTCTCTCTCTCTCTCAGTCTCTCCTCCTCACTGAGGCACTAAAACAACCAGCATCATCTCTTCTCTCTCTTCATCTCTGTCTCTCGTCTGTATGTTTCTCCAGGGACACAGCACGCCAGCGGCTATTGCCACAGCTGAAGTGTTTTGGGAGTGAGGCAAGGTGGGCGTGTGTGTGTCATGGTGTGTGTGTGTGTGTGTGTTTGCTTGTCTGGCTGTTCTCTCGTATAGAGTAGGGGGGTCCCCCCACTGTCTCAGCAGAGCAGTGCTCAAACTGCAGTGCTGTCTTTTATATCATTGCCTCCCTTCAGTCATCAATGCTATCAACTTCTTTTCCTTTCCCACACAGCAATGCCGTCCCTCACCTTTACCACAGGCCAGTAGTGCGGTTGCCCCAGCAGCTTGACAACAGCAGGGATGCCGTAGTGCAGCCGCACTGCATTCTGGGCCAGCTCGGCATCCTGGTGTCGGGAGGTGAGGTGCCGCAGGGCGCAGACCGCTGGCTCAGCGACGTCCTCCTTCTCCCCAGCACGAAGCACGGCATGGATCAACGCCTCCACGCCGCCGTACTGGGTCACCAGGGTCTGAGGGAGAACAGGTGGAAGAGGAGAGAGTGGGTTTCCTCATCTGACATGCAGGTGAAGCTTTGTCTGGTGCATGAAAGCCTCTATGAATAATACAGAAATTCACTTTCTTCACTTTCGTCATTCTTCACAAGACATGGAGTAGAGAGAAAACAACTATAAATAAAAGTGTGTGTGTGTGTGTGTCCAAGCTTAAAAACAAGAAAACAAACTGTAAATATCAATATGATATATTGCTTTTGTAAATTGAATTTCCTCGGTGCAGATTGTCTGAGTGTCCGAGGCAGCTGAGATCTTTCATTAACTAAATACAAACACACACTCACACACACCCCAGAGATGAAAGCTATGATTTCTTTTACTCTGTGTTGTTTTTGTTAATAAATTCACACATGAAGAACCAGGACCCACTGGATGTAAAATCGTGACCAGCTTCTAAAAGCTCTACACGGCACACACACTCGACAGAAACTCCTGTGGCACTAATTCTGCAGGACCCTCTTTCATTAAGGTGTCTTTATATGCACATTAACACGAAATGCATAAATATGCATTCATGAATTAGTTGGAGAACACAGCAGAAAGATAATATGGATAATTTCAAGAGGATTCTCAGCAAACCTGCTGCGGGACAGTTTGTATAGGCTGGTGTGAAGCTGTCAATCAAACCCACATGGACTGAGACCATCCAGAAAAGGTGGGTCTGTTTACATCAAAGGAGTTTGTGTTTGTAGATATGTGATTTTTAGCAGAATTCAAAATGCTAAATGTATACGTGCTGATAGTGACACGACGACGTTACCGTGTGAGCACGGCTCTGATCAATCAGGAAGTGAGAAGTCAGAACACAGGTTGTGTCTGTTCACCTCACTATCACGTTTATCACACAAGACTGTCCCGTTGCTACCTGTCCATCATTATTTATGAAACATGAAGTCACACTGACACTTGTAACAACACAAAGAACAAAAATATCCAGCAGCCTTGGGATAAAACCTCACTCAACAGTATGTCATGTGGTTCACTCCATGTATTTAGATGAAAATGGTGTTTTTATTTTTGTGTCTCTGTCAGTCAGAGCTGGAGGCATATTGTTTTCAGCTTGTCCATCTGTTCAGCCCATTCACATGGACATGATATCTCTATCTAACGCATCGACAGGACTTCTTTAAATTTGGCACAAACACTTGGATTCAATGATGAATTAGATGATTAGACTTTGGTGGTCAAAGGTCAAACCTCAAGCTCAGTGTGACCTCACAAAACACTTAGCCATTACTCAAGACTTCACAGCAATTATGACAAGATTGAACACAAATGTTTAATATTTTCTATGACTCTGGATAAACAGGGATGTGACCTGAAACTAGTCCGAGTGGAGGAGGCAGACAATAATGTTATTTATCAAATATTTCTGTTTTTCAGTTCTCTAGAATGAACACTATTTCCCATGAGCCCCAACCATTGTGGGCTAAACAAACAACAACAGAAGAAGCCACTGGTGAGTCGAGTGTCTGTAGTTAGTTCAGACGTGTATAATCAAAGATGTTCTCAACTTGTGTATCAGCCAATACAATTTCATTAAAACATTGTTTTTAACTGCTGTAAACCACTGAGCCTGTATGGATGTGATATGACTGCTGCTGTTGTACGGATCAGGTTAAACCCTTTGTAAAACATGGACAGATACATGAATGCCACAGAATCTCTGTTTATGAAGTGGAAACCTCTTATAGTGATCACAGTTACAGTGATCGACTGCTCATGGATCAAGCTCAGGACAGAATCATTCCTGTACAAATGCTGTTTAAATAATTCACTTAGAGTAATCCAGTAGTCTGCTGACAGCGGGTCCTTTCATCACGTGACAACAGAAGGAACATCATTTAAAACTGTTGTCGCCTCCTACAGCAGCTGTCACATGCTGAGGCTCGCTGATGTATTTCTGTTTCTCCTCTCGTCTCACTGTGTGTGTGTGTGTGTGTGTGTGTGTGTGTGTGTGTGCATCTCACTGACTGACTCAAGTCACAATGATTGGCTGAGTAGCATCACGTGACCAGATCTGTAAATGCAAGAAAAGCTGTGCTGGTTAAAACAGAAGCACTCCATCAAAATGTAATAATTCTTGATATAGGTTATAGATCCACTTTTGGATAGGACAGCATGGATGAAACCAACTTCAGATGAAATAATTACCCACCAAGCTGCACTGGTAACTTTTCATGGGAGCTGTGGATTTTTTATGTGCCCACAAAGTAATTATTGTTTAACGTTGTTAAAATAATGAACGGTAAGTCTTATAGAGGGCGCGATTTGTCGTGAATATGTGAAGTAAACTCCAGAAGAAATGCTGGAAAAAGATTGGATTGATTCATAGAAGCTGGTGGAACGGAGGTTAGACCAACCATGACGTCAGGACTTTATGATGATCATAATACTACACCGCCACCATCGAGTCCATCCTCACCTCCTCCCTCACCACCTGGTACGCTGCTTCCACTGCCAAGGAAAGGAGCAGACTGCAGTGTGTCATTCACTCTGCCGAGAAGGTGATCGGCTGCGATCTGCCACCCCTCCAGGACCTGCTCACCTCCAGGACCCTGAGGCGAGCAGGAAAGATTGTAGCAGACTCTTCCCACCCCAGGAACAAACTGAGTCACTCCCCTCTGGCAAGAGACTGCGGTGCATCAGGGCTAAAACATCACACCATAAAAACTGCTTTTTCCCCCGACTGCAGTTGGCAAGGCCGCCCCCCCCCACCCCCCACTGCTGCTGATTTTCTTGTAACATTGATGGTGATGCAGGATATCGACACCAGAAAAGTCCAGTAAAGGAGTTACTCGTAAGCCCATACAGTTTCATATTCTGTCCTCTTGGTTGTTTGTGTGAACACTAACTGGATCAGAACTATATGGCAATGATGGATCTTTTTGTGTCCCCCTTGGTCTGGATCAACTGAAATGAATCACGGAGGTCATGTGAGTAATGGTCTGTGGAGGGGTGTGAGCTCTTTTCTTCGCTTTAGTTAGTAATTAAAATTAAAAAAAAAATACATAGATTTATGACTTAATATATCATGATCAATATTTAGTGTCATTTCAAAAATGCTGATTTCAACTGGCTCAATGTTGACTGTGACCCCGCGGCCAAATGTACGCGGAAACATACTGATGTGTACTTCTGGTCTGGGGCTGACCGGGAGCAGATCCTGCAGCCAGAATCTGTCAGAGGAGCAAGGCTGTGACATCAGCGGATCAATGCTCATGGTGTTAGAATGACACGCGCCGTCTCATCGTGGTTACCTTGTTGCGTGAGTTGTTACAGGTGAGGTTGGACAGGATGCCAGTTGCACAGGTCAACATGTTAACGTCATCTGAGCCCAGCTGGGTGACCAGTATCTGCAGCAGACCATCTAACCCCTCCTATAGATTTAAAAGCAATAATAGAAAATTGGGAAATTAAATTCAGTTACAAAAAGACCCAAGGTGGTGCCATGCATGCCGGCCTTGTCGCAAGCCCCTGCAAAGTGTAGTACTTTCATTGTTCATTTAGCACTTTCATGTTGTTATATTTCTGCAGCAAATGGTAAAAGTAGGTTAGTGTATGAGCGCCAAACACTTCTGGACATGAGGTCAGCCATCTTTCACTGAAAGCCAGACTTTTATAACCCTGACCCTGCATCTTTGTTTGGGGAACTCAACCATTAAAAACACCACACACACACAGCTCTCCATCAATGAGAGACTGTGGGGGTGTGCTGTAACATGCTTTATAGAAACATGGATGTTTGAGTTACTGCACCACCCTCGTGAGCCGCCACTTTTCTAGTGTCAAGGATAGTTGGACCCAAAATGCAACCAAAAAACAACAACTAAAAAGGGGGTAGTTGAAAAATAATGTTTAATAACAAAAACAGAAACTTACAAAACTGAGAATAAAAAAAACAAAAAAAAAAAAAAAAAACAACAGGCAGGAACAAAAACCAGAACTCAGAAAACACTGGAGCACGATGACGGGGAAACACGAAGGCCAACAGGAGAAATTACAGATCCACAGGATAACATGGTGACAACAGACAGACAGACAGACAGACAGACAGACAGACAGACAGACACAAGTGGAAGACAGAGGCCCAATCCCAGTGTCCACCCTCAGACTCACAGACTTGGAAGTGCGTTCCCAGTGAGTCTGTGAGCGATGAGGGCTGTCTCACTGTCAAACCATCGAGGGCATGAGGGCTCTCCAGCAGACATTTTGAGCCCTTCATGCACACTTTCCCGTAAGGCCGTAAAACGGAGGAAATAATAAGAAAGAAGAAGAAGGAACACAGGAGCATGAGAGGAATGAACCCTAACATTAGTATTACAAGTAAAAAGACAGCATGTGACAGTGTCACACACAGCTCACTGTGATTCCGAGACAGAACTGTTTGTAGTTATCTGTCCTGTGACATGATGATAAATTCCAAGTCTGCTTTCACCAGATCTGATCCAGCATCATTATTTTGTTTAAAAACACATACATGAAGAATGGAAAGTCAGAATTCTCAACCCCACAACTGTACGCCACATGTTTTACATGATATAAAGGTGTCACACAGTGCTGCCCCATTCCTCTTTACACCATTTTGAGCCCTTGCAGCCTCTTGTACTCAATCATTCACCAGGTGATGTCAGTTAAGTCTTTGAGGGTTCAGGGCTTAGGCCTAAGGGGGGGGGGGGGGCATTGGGATTGGGCCAGAGACTTAAATACAGAAGGGAGGCGAAGACAATAGAACACAGGTGAAACACATTAGGGCGGAGCAGACAATCAAACTGGGGGAAAACAGGACAAAGACAAGAAGTAAAAAAAAAACAAGAGACACACAAAGAAGCTACTTCAAAATAAAGCAGGAAATGACAATTACCAAGCTGATTAAAAAAACTCCAAACATAATACAGAAGTCCAAACACAAAGAGTCCTTTAGGGAAACCATGACAATTTCTCCATGCACTGCAAAAAGAGATCACAGGCCCTATCAGGGAAAAGCAAAGGCGGTGATCTTGGTGCTACCTTGGATAGACACACCATCAAATCCTTCTGTTCTCCTGACCTGGAGCACATCATAATTGTCTGCTGACCAGTCTGGCTACTGAGGGAATTCTCCGTTATCACGACAGCTGCTTTCATTAACCCCTCAAGCCAAAACAGACCTTTCCGTGCACCTGGAGGCCACAAGCCAACCGGGAGAGAGTGTTAGCTGAACACTAAATACCTTTCAACATATTAACTGCATAACAAGCGAAAGACAAAACTGGGCCATTGATAAACCCATCTCCCTGGAGGCATAAAAATCGTTCTGCAAATAGCTTTTATAACTTCTATAATAAATTCTCCATTCTGTTCCTTCCTTCCTATAGACAGAATCTGAAACAGGAAGTACCCACTGTCTGTATGCTAGAAGATTGTTTTGATCAAGTGGACTGGAAAATGTTCCTCCTTGCCACCAACAGCAGCATCGATGAGAATGTGGACTCAGTCAAAAAAGGTCAAAATCTTCCCTAATCGAAAACCCTGGATTAACAGTGAGGTGCATGCAGCTCTCAACACACACACTACTGTGTTTAACTCTGGCAACTTGAATGCACAGAAACACACCAGCCCTCCAGAAGACAATTAAAGCCTACAAAAGGAAATACAGGAACAAAGTGGAGTTGGAGCTGAGCACTAACACCAGGTCTGCATAACGGACGCTACAGGGAACAGCAGCACACCACCCACCAGCACCGCTACACCAGACAAGCTAAACATGTTGGTCTATGCCAGTGATGGGGCCTAGACCAGGGAAGAACCCACTAAATTCTTTACTATATTTCAAAAAAATTTCTCTGAAGTCTGGTGCATGTTGCTTGACACTGGCCTTGGCAGAGATCTGTAGTCTCTGAGTTCTTTTCTAGTTAAATTACTGGAAGCGTCCCATCCACAAGAGGAGGTTAAAAGAAGTCGGCTGGCCAGCTCTCCAGAGCCAGCTGCCTGTCAGACTCGCTCTCTGCTCCATACTGTCAAAGCAGCTGCTTGGTTCTCTCTTGGACCTGACAGAGGAGCAGGTATAGAACCTGTGAGACTGCAGTGCATTAACTTCAAAGCGTTTTTTCTCCTCTTGAGAAAAAAAAGAAAACATGGCAATACTAGTCATAGCAATCAAAGCATTCTGTAGGAGTAGTGGGTGAAGCCATACGTGCCTGTTTGGTTGCAGCGTCTGACAGGTTGCGGAGGGTCCACAGACAATTCTGGATCAGACGCTGACTTGAACCTGTAAGGTGTTGGCCCAAAGCTTGCATACCACCTGGAGAAAGAATGAAATACACTTACACACTACACAAACATCCACACTCAGTCTTCTACATTCATGTCCAATGATGCCGACTTACCAGCCTCTACGATGGCTGGCTTGTTGCTGGGACAGACAGACAGCACTTTGAGGACACGGCTGGTGGTCCACAGGAGCTTTTCATAGTTGTAGTTCCTCATGATGAAAACCAGACCCTCTGGGCCTCCATTGGCTAGGATGATGAGCTGACAAGAAACAGAAAGCAGGAGGCGTAGTTGTGTAATAAGTAAGAGGACACAACAAGGATCTCCTGCCCAGTGTTAAGCCCCTCTCCTCACCTTGCTCTCCTGGTTGCCATAGGACAGGAGCTGCAGACAGTCAGTGGTGATGGCCAGGAACTTGGGATTGCTCTTTTTCAGCAATGGAACCATCCTCTGCAGGCCATCAGCGAGACGCACCGCCATCTTGGCTCCCTCTTGGTGCAGCAGCAGGTTGTGGAGGGTGGTGATGGCGTAAAATAAGACTGATTCCACTGGTGAACTACATGAGACAGACGAAGAGGAAGAGACAGATTTCTAAACCTTTATTGACTATTGACTATCAGACGTCATGTCTCATCTGCACAAGTCGGTCAGACATGGGCTGAAGAAGCTTTGGTAGTTGGTCTCACTTGCTCACAACACAGCATCTGGTGAAGCAACCACTGACACATTACTATGGATCAGCAATGTTTTTGACTTATAATTTGTCATCAGCCTCCTTACTAGTCCAGCTGTTTGTGAACACATACAATTTATGCCATCCAGAAAAAGGACAGTGCAGTCTTTATACCCTACAAAGTCTTGCCTATTTTTGCTCACTTTTCACTCACGTTTTTTTGGATCGTCACAACAGGAAGGCATGTGCCTTGTGGATATAAGAGGCTGAATGGCTCTAAACCATCTCCAGTTGAACCTGGACAAATCTGAAGTTGTTCTTTTTGGTCCCCAAGGACTCCATTGTCTCGATCACCAATGACCTTCATTACCTTTCCATCTACATTAAGCCCTTTACCAAAAACATGGCATAATCTTTGACTCTGCCTTCAAATTTGACAAGTAGGTAAAGGTAGTAGTAAAATCCAGCTCTTTTCAGCTTCATACCATCACCAAAATAAAACCCTTCCTCGCATTTACTGACATAAAGAGTCATCCATGCTCTTATATCCTCCAGGCTTGATTACTGTAACTCCCTGTATTCTGGAATCAGTCAGCCATCCTTGTCTCACCTGTAACTGGTCCAGAACGCTGCAGCTCAGCTTCTGACTGGTTCCAAGGGGAGGGATCACATGACCCCTATCCTGGACTATCTCCATTGGCTGCCAATTTACTCTAGGATAGATTTTAAGATTCTACTGTTTTTTTTTTTCAAAGCCCTCAATGGATCAGCTTGCTTGTTTTTGTTGCACTGATCCATTGTCTGTTGATGTTGTTGATTGTGTTTTTCTTGGTGTTGCACAGCACTTTGGTCAGCTGTTTGCTGTTTTTAAATGTGCTTTTTAAATTCTAAATAAAAAAAGTCATACACTGCACAATTTAGATTCGGAGGGTTAATGTTAACTTTTTTTAGCTAGCAGTAGGGCTCTAGGGGTGGCAATCATGGTTTTTCAGTTGGTCAGTTGATTGGTTAGTCCACCACTTGCTGGAGTTGTCATGTCCAGCTCTGTTTCTTAAAAAAAGTTTTCATTTTTGGTTATGTCTTTCATTTTTATACACTTTTTACACAATATTTAATTTTGAAAACTTACTCTCCCTCTTGTTTCAGTTTCAATTCCTGTCTTTGTGTGTTTTTTTTCCACCACTGTGATTATTGGCCCTGCCCTGATGTGTTGCACCTTTGTCTCATTGTCTCCCCTCTCCTGTTGTATTTAGTATATGTTCTCTCTTCCACTGGTTTCAGTTCGTCTTCGTCCTTTGTTGAGTTCCAGACTTTATTCCTACTGCAGTTAGTTTTCTTGTGTATGACCTTCTACCAGTCATCTGACCTCACCTCAGCCTTCTCCCCTTGGATCAGTCTGCCTTGTGTTCATTGTATCCTGCGTACCAACCATTTCTGGAAATCCTCTCCTCCGATGCCTTGTGGAGTTCAGTGGATGACAGGAGTGTTCACACTGAAATATCTCAGCAACTATTTGATGGATTGTCATGACATTTTGTGCAGACATTTATGGTCCCCAGAGGAGGAATCCTAAGAACTTTGGTGTTCCTCTGACTGCACCTCTCATGCTCTCTCATATTTGTGATTTGAGTCTCAGGAACTACTGGATGGATTGGTATGCATTTGGCACAGTCATGTTTCCTTCAGGATGAATTGTAATTACTTTGGTAAAAATTTCACCTGGTACCATCATCAAGTCAAAATTTAAATTTTCTCAGCACTTTAGAATACCTGCAAAACTGATGTCATTTCAATCACCCTCAGCTGTAGCCTACTTGAGGTTTACTGTGAATTAGTAAATGTCAGCTGACAACTAAGACAGTGAACATATCAAATACCTGCTAAACATTAGCATATTAACATTACCATTATGAGCATGTTAGCATGCTGATGCTAGTATTTAGGGTTACTGTAGCTAAGTACAGCCTCACATAACTGTTAGCATGTAGACTCTTAAGCTTGTGCCGCATCCCTCGGAGGATTACACTGTTAAATGTAAGTATTGGGTTTCAGCTTAGATCAACAGCAAACCGTACAACAACCAACGGCCTTAAAACCTCAGGTTTTTGTAAAAATAAATGAATAAATAATTACGTGTTGTCAAGGTTGCTAGGAAACAGAAGCAGCACTTAGTCAGACAACGTTAAGCGCGGGCAAAGCTAGTGACGACCATGTTATTCCGGTTCAGCCTTCGAGGCGTATGATTCATATTAAAATAATTTACTAAAAATAGTGTTCAATTATGTTTGAGCAATATTTTACAAAATACAAGTTTTTTTGGGTTTTAGATAGTCCAACCAGAAACAACCCAGTGGGACTCCCCTGATATTGGTCTTTCTATAGTTGTGGGAACAGTCATTGACATAATGCATTCCTGAGCCACTTTGTTAACCATCACAAATAAATGTCTAACCCCAACTGAACCAATGAAAAGCCCTTTAAGACATTAGGACCAGCCAAAAGATCCTCCAAAAATAGTTTTGAACCAAAATTTGTTTTGACATGAGCAGACACACAAGTAAAAAAACTTGATTGTGCAGGAGGTTGCTGAGGGTGAAGAGCACACCCAAACCTGCTAAAAGAAATCAAAGAAAGAGAGAGTGTGTTAAGAGAGGAGGAGAAGAGAGACAGGGAGAAAAGGTTGATAGCATTAATACAAGTCACACACACCAACCTGGCTGCTCTCTTTGAAGCTCTTAAAGTTCTAATTTTTTATTCAATTTCATTTCATTTTCTGTGTGAATTAAGCTCCAAATCAATTAGCAGTATGATTTATTCTCCTCTGTTAAGCCCCTGTGTAAGGGATTAACTCGGCAGCCCTGCCTGGGGGTTGGAAAGGCCTTTAATTTAGAGCTAAAATTGAAGCCTAACCTCATCTGCTACACTTTTTAGATGACCTCTAGTTGCTATATTGGAGGCTGAACAAAATTCAGCACCTGACAAAAGTAGTTTTTTTTTTAAATTTCAGCTCCCTTCATTTCACACTGTGTGTTTACAGAGAGAATGTCTTTTTTATCATAAGCCTTCCAACCTAAAAGACCTTACCCTCAAATACTAATCATAGCAGGCGCATTGGATTGCTTGGTCTTAGTTACAATAATAATTATGTGGTTAAAGTTGTGGAACGGTCATGGATAAAAGAAACAACACTGACTATTGGTTTAAAAGGGAAATGACCAGCAGTCTCCTGTGGAAAAATGTTGACTCATTTATCTACCACAACCTCCTCCTAACGCAGACTTTATCTTTCTATTTACATCATCCTCTGACTTCCTCCTTTGTTCCCATCATAATTACATTGGTCACTAGAGGTCACCTAACAGTAAACTGGAACTATGGGTCATGATAACCTGCTTGTACAGACAAACTATGGAGTTGTTTTTTTTCAGCAGAAGAGATAACAATAAATGTGTTACAGCGGATGGAAGCAGCACAGGCAGCAGTGGACCCTAATGCAGGCACAGGCAGACTTACTGGCAGATGAAATGACAAGGTGGCAGGTAGGTATCCAGGAAAAAACTACAGGGAACTAAATGCAGGTAGCAGGGACAGAGCAAATTAACATACAGTGGACGGGGAACACAGATACTACAGCCGTATCCCAGTTCAGGGGCCACATCCTTCAGAAGCTGCAGTTGAAGAACGATTGTGTCACAGCGGCGTGACTAGACTGATTTCACAACAGAATATTTTTAGAGTTCATTTTTGGTTACTTGGTTAAAATGTCTATAACTGATACTCATACAACAATTTATCAAATGAAAATGTTAAACCAATGCAAGAGTTTTCATGGTTGCCATGACGGACACATTATGTTTGAGTTTGGTCATTTCCTATTTTATTTTGTAGTTAGGTTCCTTGTGTGTCTCTTGATGTTTTGACTTCCCGCCTTTGTCCTGTTTCCTTCTTTGTTCATTGTCTGCCCCGCCCTAATGTGTTTCACCTGTGTTCAATCACCCTTGCCTCCCTTGTGTCTATTTAGTCTCTGTGCTCCCCTTTGTATTAGTCAGTTTGTTTGTTATTGTCCCGTGTTACCTGTTCAAGTTACCCATGCTTCTGGTTCCTGTTCAAGTTCCTTGTGTTACCTTGTGTTTTTGTAAGTAAAATTATATCTTTTTCCACCCACTCCCTTGTGTTTGGTCTGCATTTGAGTCCAGCCTTACCTTAATCGTGACAGTACAAACTAACCAAAATATGGACCCAGCAGCCTATGCCAGCTTCATGGCTTATTTGAGGTTCCTTCACGGTCAGCCTCAATCCTCCCAGCCACCCCCTTCGGTCGTCAGGCCCCACTGAATGAGTCTGACCTGGAGGACCCTGACAAGTCCCCTTTCAAGGGAACTCATCTGGCTATTTTTCCGGGGTTCCATGGTGGCCACAGAAGACAAGGATATCATGGCTCCCGTCACCACAGGAAAACTCAGCCTCAGCCCCAGCCCCAGGTTCCTTGCTACCAGCCCCAGGTTTCCAGCTACCAGCACAAGCCTCAATCCTCCCAGCCAGCAGCACCCCCATCAGTCGCCAGGGTTCTCAGCACATTGCCCGACTCCCTTATCTGATTCTAATCTGGAGGACCCTGAGCCGTCTCCTTTTTGGGGAACCCGGCTAGCCTTTCCTGGAAGGTATCTAGGGGTGGGAGCCCCTCGGAAGAAACGCAGGTCACGGAGACACCGGTTACCCAAGCAGCCTCAGCCCCAGGACTCCAGCTACCAGTCCTGGGTCACCAGCTTCCAGCATGAGCCTCGGCCTCAGGTCTCCAGCTTCCAGCCCAAGGCCCAACTACACCACTATCCAGAGCTTCTGCTCTCCAGTGACCAGGAGCCTTCGCCAACCACCTGGCTGACGCATCAGCTGTTTTAACTTTGGGGGTCCTGGTTGATGTCTCATCTGCTCCTGACTCAGTTCCTGGGTCTACCATCCTGGCTGACACATCAGCTATTTCAGTGTCGGGGGTCCCGGTAGACGTCTCTCTTGTTCCTGAGTTGGTGGTTCTGGGCATCGTCTCCCCTGCTCCTCTTGTCCTGTCTGCGGTCTGGCTGAATCCTGCTCCCCGTGTCCTGTCTGCGGTCCAGCTGAATCCTGCTTCCGAGTCAGTGGTCCGGCTGACTCCTGCTCCTCACGTTCTGTTGGCGGTCTGGCCACCAGCTGCTCCTCGTATCCCATTGGCAGCCCAGCTGACTTCTGATTCTAGTTCTCAGTCAGTGGTTTGGCTGAATCCTGCTTATTGTGTCCTGTTGGTGGCCCAGCTGACTCCTGATTCTGGTTCCCAGTCAGTGGTCTGGCCAACTCCTGCTTCTTGTGTCCTATCTGTGGTCCAGTTGTCTCCTGCTTCCGAGTCAGTGGTCCGTGGTCAGTGGTCTGAGTCAGTGGTCTGGCCGACTGCTGTTCCTGATTCCCAGTTTGCAATTCAGCTGTCACCAGCTCATGATCTCCGGTAGTCAGTCCGGTCGACACCTGCTCCTGTTCCCCAGTGGGCGGTTTGGCCAACTCCTGCTCCTGCTCCCCAGTCACCAACCCAGTCAACTCCTGGTCACCCTCCAGAGGGGCTACGCCTGCAACACTGGCCTCCTGGCGCAGGCCTCCTGCGCACACTCCAGAGGGGCCTCGTCTTTGCCGTCGTCCTCTGCAGAGACTCAGTCTTTGCTGTCGGCCTTCAGAACGGTTCCATCTGTTTGCCTGACCTCCAGGTCGCCCCACTGAACTGCCCAGTCTGTCCATACAGCCTCTCGGCCGTCCTCCCGAGTTTCCCTGTTTTGCCCCTGAACATCAATTGATGCTCTTCTGCTCTGCCCCTGTGATACCAGGCTCCTTAAATTGTTACTTTCCTTCCTGTCCACCGGCCCCTTGCTGACCCCAGCTCATGTCCATGAAGAGACATTAAGTTATGTTTAGTGTTGTCTGTCTCGTGACCTCGTTTTATTTTGAAAACATAACTCTCCTCTCGTTTCAGGTAACTTCCTCCTTCCCTTGTGTGTTTCCCACTGGTCTGATTGTCAGCCCCGCCCTGATTGTTTCCACCAGTTTCCCATTACCTTGTGAGTGTGTGTGTTTGTGTGTTTGTGTGTTTGTGTGTGTGTGTGTGTGTGTGTGTGTAGTCTGCATTTCCCTTCGTCCTGTGCCAGTTCATCTTGTCTTGTTGCCGGAGAACCACGCCAGCCACGTTGTCCCTTGCCAGGTTTTGAATTCAATATTACATTTTGCCACAGTCTTGCTGTACATTATTTAGATACTTTGTCTTTTCCTGTGTCCTGAATTTTTTGTTGGTTTTCCTCGAGAGAGCGATTTTTATTTGGGTACTTTAAATATACAGTATATTCCTCTGTTAGAGTGATTTTCTGTTGCTACTTTGTCATTAAAATATTGTTGATTGGTACTTTGTCTTGGAGTCGTGCATTTGGGTTCAAGTCTTAGTTCAGTTGTGACACCCGCCCTAATGTGTTTCAGCAGCTTGGTTAGCTCCGGCACCGCCCTGGTTGCCAGCTCAGCATCATCCTGGTAGTTGATCAGGTGGACGATGGCTGTCTTTAGCAGCTGCGAGGGCTCAGCCAATCGCTGTACGTGTCCAGTTGTGACACCCGCCCTAATGTGTTTCACTGATGTTCAATCACCTTTGCCTCCCTTGAGTCTATTTTGAGTCTATGCTCCCCTTTGTCTGTGTCAGTTCATCTGTTGTTGTCCCCCGTGTTACCTGTTCAAGTTACCTGTGCTTCTGATTACTGTTCAAGTTCCCTGTGTTCCTCGTGCTTCTGGCATATGTTCCTGTCCCTTGTGTTACCTTGTGTTTTTGTAAGTAAAATTATCTTTTTCCACCTACTCCCTTGTGTTTGGTCTGCATTCGGGTCCATCCTTACCTTAATCGTGACACAAGAGTGTGAAAAGGATCAATGGTAGTGATGAACCAGACCATTATCTGAATTTGCAGCTTCCCTCAGCGTTTCAGCTCAATGTTTAACAGAAAAAAAGCTGTAGAAAGCCACATTCCACGACCTGCTCAGTGGACAGTCAGAGAGCAGCTGGGGAACACAGTGAAGCAGTTAGCAGATAAAGAGCCAGATACTTTTCTCAGAGCTTGTGGAGACAAAACCAGGGCTGCAGGGACAGAGGGTTTACACTCATTAGATGGACACAAACTCAACTACAAATGAATGACAATGACGCTCTGTAACTGTGTTGTTGAAGTTGAAAAGTCACGATATGTGAAGATCATGTTTACAACTTGTTTCTGCTGCCCCCAAGTGGCCAAAACTTCATTGTAAATTAGTTTAATTATCTCTACCTTAGCATGCGGACAAGTGCTGGGATCCCTCCAGACTTAAATATGGCCAGCAGCCCCTCCCTCTGGTGTGACAAGCTGTGGAGCACACTGGCTGCGCACCGGGCCGTCTCCATGTCAACTGCTGTTGTCATGACGCGCACCACAGCGCCCACCATGGCCGGGGACTGCACAAGCACCCGCCGACTCGCCTCCTTTCGGGTCAGCTGGTTGACTATCATGGCCGCCTTGTTGACCACAACCTAGACATGCGAGGAAACAGATATTTGTAAACTGGTTCATGTGAGTGAGTAAAAAATGTGATACTGGTTCAGTCGTGTCACTGTACCGGATCCTCGTCTGCCAGCAGCTTGGTTAGCTCCGGCACCGCCCTGGTTGCCAGCTCAGCATCATCCTGGTAGTTGATCAGGTGGACGATGGCTGTCTTTAGCAGCTGCGAGGGCTCAGCCAATCGCTGTACGTTGCTCTGCTGTGAAGGATCTGATTGGACTGGCATAGCTGCCTCTCCCTCCACCAGGGTCTCCGGGAACATTGCCGCCCTGACGCGCTGAGCCCGTGTTAGTGAGTACTGAGCGTCTAAATCTATCAGAGTGAGAGAGAGATATAATAAGACACAGAGAGAGAATGAAAGAGTCTTTGTGTGTGTGTTTTTTTGTTAGTACATTAGTGAATTTACAGACATGGACATGGACACTCTGGACTATTGAAAAAATGACAAAACATAGGTAAAACAAGGGTCATGCAGCCTGTGTGTGTACTTGTATTACTCATGTTGTGGGGACATGACTCTGTTTACACACATTGTGGGGACTCGCATTCCCTTTAGGATAGACAGTGTCTCCAAGTTCACACAGCTTCCTGTAATGTAGACCATTAAATTGTAGGGTTGTGTGGTGGGTTAGGTTTAGTGGAAATGAATGTAAGTCAGTGAAATGTCCTTGAAGTAATGGAAACATGAATGTGTGTGTGTGTGTGTGTGTGTGTGTGTGTGTGTGTGTGTGTGTGTGTGTGTGTGTGTGAAAGCAAGTAAGATCAAGCAAGAAAGTCGCTGCAGCCTGATTGGATGAATTGGTTACATAATGCTTATGTGTGTAATTACAGTTGGGATGAAATGAGTGACTCACTGTTCAACTCTCAGCTAACATGATAATGAGAGTTATTTGAATGTAATATTGTTTCCAATTTAAATTAAGCCCTTTGCATTAGTTCCCCAAAGGACAAATATTGAGTTGGAATGGTTCTCATTAAATGAGATCTAATTTGACTAAATGTGACTAAATCTGATTTAATCTGGACTAAACAAAGCAGAGACACTGTGTCGGCCTCAGGACCAGCAGCAAGTTGCATGGGGTACAATTCAACAATATTATATACATATACAACTAAACTAAGAAAATAAGTTTAGAAGGAAACATAACTGTGACTGGATTATGTTTTTGATTAATGTAATGAGGAAATGTTAATTTACATATTTGGTAAGTTAAAAATATGTTGATACAGAAAATAGCAGACAGTGAAGTGACTTCAGCTTTATTAAACAGTCCTATGGTTCTATTGAGACTCACTTCAGATCAGGGATAGATCCTTGTCTGGTTTTAATCAGAAAAGGTTCTCAGTGACTTCAGAAACAACCTGTTTATTCGCATTTAACCTAAACCTTCATCTTTCCCTAACCTTAACCAACGTACTTTTGACAGGACAGGACTCTGGAGGTGAACCCCGGTCTCTGTTGTGACAGCTAGAGGTGTGTCTCAAGTCACTTGACTTGGATTTGAGTCAAACTCGAGTCAAATTGATGACTTTAGACTTGGGTGAACTGCAGAGCAGAAAGGCTGCAGTGTCTGGGCCAGAAACTGTATACAACAAGACTAGGTCTAAACCTAGTGTATGTCTAGACCTGTGGTCAAATCCTGATTTTATAACTGCCACATCGTCTGACATTAATCCCTGTGCTGTTCCCCTCTCTGCATATCCATCCCACCTGTATGCATCCCAAGTGAAACCTGTCTCTACCTGTCCTTTGTACCCCTGTACCGCCCCCCTTCTCCACCCAGGGTCATTGATGATCACCCTGCTTACTTGGCTGCTGGCTATGTGCTTTTGGGGTAGAGGTCTGTGGATTGTGAGGATAACGGGTCTGAGGAGCACTGTTGGATTCCACGTCGCCGGATTCTGGAACTATTATCCAGGATTTCCATCCTCGTCACCCGAACCGGCTCAGACGTGCGCCAGGTGACCTCAAGAGGGTGGTACTGTCAGGGCCTCCACTTCTGCCTCGCTGGTCGCCTCTCTCCCACTCCTTTTCCCTCTTTGTGTGTGTGTGTGTGTGTGTCTTTAATTACAGGAATGCAGTCAGGTGAGCAGGAGTCAGGCCTCCAGCTGTCTTTNTCCACCCAGGGTCATTGATGATCACCCTGCTTACTTGGCTGCTGGCTATGTGCTTTTGGGGTAGAGGTCTGTGGATTGTGAGGATAACGGGTCTGAGGAGCACTGTTGGATTCCACGTCGCCGGATTCTGGAACTATTATCCAGGATTTCCATCCTCGTCACTCGAACCGGCTCAGACGTGCGCCAGGTGACCTCAAGAGGGTGGTACTGTCAGGGCCTCCACTTCTGCCTCGCTGGTCGCCTCTCTCCCACTCCTTTTCCCTCTTTGTGTGTGTGTGTGTGTGTGTCTTTAATTACAGGAATGCAGTCGGGTGAGCAGGAGTCAGGCCTCCAGCTGTCTTCACCTCCTCCTCCTCTTGCCTTCACCTCCTCCCACTCTTGTCTTCACTTCCTCCTGCCCTTCTCTTCACCATCTCCTTCTCTTGCCTTCACCATCTCCTGCCCTTGTTTTCACCTCCTCCCACTCTTGTCTTCACCTCCTCCTACCCTTCTCTTCACCTCCTCCTCCTCTTGCCTTCACCTCCTCCTCTTCTTGTCTTCACCTCCTCCTCCTCTTGCCTTCACCACCTCCTGCCCTTGTCTTCACCTCCTCCCACTCTTCTCTTCACCTCCTCCTCCTCTTCTTGCCTTAACCACCTCCTGCCCTTGTCTTCACCTCCTCCTCCTCTTGTCTTCACCACCTCCTGCCCTTGTCTTCACCTCCTCTCACTCTTCTCTTCACCTCCTCCTCCTCTTCTTGCCTTAACCACCTCCTGCCCTTGTCTTCACTTCCTCCCACTCTTGTTTTCACCTCCTCCTCCTCTTGTCTTCACCTCCTCCCGCTCTTGTCTTCACCTCCTCCTGCCTCGCTTTACTGTCTGAGTTGACTCTGCTCTAGCACCCTGCTCTCTGTGGTCTGCACCTCCCTGGCCTCCCTTAATGGTTTCCCCACCATGCCCCGGTCTGACTCCAGCCCCAGCTGAGATCTGTCCATCTTATGACTGTCATCCTGACATTTGGGTAAAAACATGACACTCTTCTTTTGTGGCTATCAGGAGCTCATCGAGCTGCATTTTAAATTTCAGCGGGACCACTGGGCTTCAGTTTAAGAGGTGAATCATTCACATGTCACTAAATATTTGAAGTACATGCTCCTGAAGCCCTGTGAGCTTTGGAAAAGCTTCGGTTAATTAGGATGACAAGTAGGTATTTATGTATTTAACCTTTACGAGATGAAGCGAGAAGAGAATAATTGCTGAGATGAACTGAGGAGAATAGAAGCATCTGCTGCTGAACCTGGAGGCTGACTTTTAATACACTCTAACTGGGTAGTGGATGACATTTCTTGCTGAGCCTCAGGTTCTCTCATCATTAAAGATATTTTGTAGTCATGCCTCAGGAGGAACAATTGTTTGATAGATGACGTAATAATCTCAGAGCTGATGACAGACGGAATTCAACCTTATTAGATTCCGCCTCAGAGGGCCACAGTGCTGTTGTTTCTCTGTCCAATATGTAGAGCACTCAGAGGATAATATTCCAGGTTTAAAGGCAAATCAAGGGAGGGTGATGTTACAGTGTGTCATATATGGATCATTTTGAAATAGGTCTCTCCCCCGGACAGTGGGATCAACAGCATATTTCACAGTCTGTCACTTGAGTAGTTTGGGATTAGGGTAAATGGTTCTTTACAGAGATTAGAATAGCATTCATTAATTCATGAATGAAAATTATGACTATATATATTAATCAACCACTTTTTTTTTCGCATGATGAAGATGAGACAGAGATGACACAGACATGATGTCGTGAGACAGTGACAATATCATTAACAAAAAAAAAGCTGAGTAAAATGGAGTTACAAAATGAAAACTATAACAAAATCTCGATTTTCATTCACAAAAAACAGAACACAGAATTAAACTTTGTTTTTTTGTTTGTTTTTTTTTCAATCAATGTCATAACGTAAATGTGTGTCTGTTATTGGCTGAGCTGCACATTTGTCCCCCCCGTGCACCCGAATCATCTTCCCAGATGGCCAACAGTGGTAGCACGGACCTAACTATGACCTTTAATGCTACAGAAAACTTATGGCGACAGGAAAAGAACATGATGGGGGTTGAACAGACCTTTTTCAAATCTAATATCACTGAGAGTGTGTATTGTGGTCGGGAGAGAAGCCCTGCGGCTACGAAATCACTGGGAAGAAAAGCACAAATATGAAGACACCTCAAGGTGCGTCAGACATGAACTGAGGTAATAACATTATTTTTTAAAGCTTTGCTGAAATGTCAGTAGTCCAGATAGCAAGGTTGGCTAACCTTTGACTTAAGATAAGTTTTTACTTTTTTTTGGAGTGTTAAACTTGGTATCTCTGCTAGAGCATGCAGGTCGCAGATTTTCAACAGGCCCCTGGAATTAAATGTTGTCACTCTATGTCATCTACTAGTTATTAAAATGCAGAGCATACAGAAGACTGAATACAGTTTGGTTTCAGCTGTCTGGCGCTCAGCTTGTGTTGTGTATTAGAAGAGGTTCCAAAAGTTAATCTTAATGATAGTGTACAATCTATTATAAACGGACTTACAGTTATATAGCGCTTTGTCTAATCTTAACGACCACTCAAAATTCACACAGTCATTCATCACCCATACACACAGTCATACACTGATGGAACAGCCTTCAGGGGCATTACAGGGCTCAGTATCTGTATCTAGACATGTGGACTGGAAGAGCTGGGGATCGAACCTCCTGAGCCACAGCCGCCGTAAATATGAGTATAACAGTCTTGTACAACAGTACCACTAAGGCCGACAAAACATTATATGTTGCTGCAGGGCTGTTGTACAGGTTCTTTCTGACTGTGTAGGGCTTCATCTTCTCTGGATTCTCAGTAAAGCTTGTACCAATGACTGACTCATTGCTCTGCCAGGATTACATTGGATTTGCTGTTGCATCTTCCCAGACTTCATGGTTGTTTCCTCTTCAGCGTTTGGATGTTTTGATGAAATGAATAACATCATATCAGACACCTGCAAAGCCGTTTTCTTAATCACACAACCTTGTCATTCTGTGGATTTGTTTTACTTTCATTTTCTTTCAGAATAAAATCAGTGGGATGAAATCTCATCAGAAAGCACTTTAGTGAAACTCAAGAGAAATTTATGTAAAACTAAACTAAATGTTCAAACCATCCTAATTCTCTAATGACTGAA